AAATATTTGTATTATTGAATTGTACAAATAATGATACAGACTAGGAATATTTATATACAACCCTAATTGGGCTTGGTTCTGCACAACTTGGATTATTTTAAAATATTAAATCTAATCAAATCTAATCTAATATTTTAACAAATCTAATTTAATATTTCAACACACACCCATAATCCATGTTGTCGAACATACTCTAAAAATAGTTAATCTGAACTATTCCTAATTTCTTTCTCAAATTCAGGAATTTGTCGAGCTTTAATCTTTTGGTAAAAATGTCGGCCAAATGTGCTTCACTCGAGCAATGCCTTACTTCAAGTTCACCTCTATTTACCTTTTCCCTCAAGAAGTGAAACTTTTCTTCGGCATGTTTACTTCATTCATGCAAAATTGGATTCTTCGCCAGATTTATGGCTGACTTGTTGTCGATTTGCAACACAAGAGGTTTCTTTACTTCGACATTCATTTCTTCAAGTAAAATCTAATCCAAATTTCTTGTCATGCAACATAGGATCCTACTATATATTCAGCTTCATACGATGGCAATTCCACCACAGGTTTCTTCTTCGAACACCATGAGATTGGGGCATCAAATACTTGAAAGAAATAACAAGTTGTGCTTCTTCGATCTTCCTTATTTCAACACCAATTATCATTTGAAAATCAATTAACTATTTCTTCTTTGTCTTCAGAATCTCTTCGAAATAATATTCCACAGTTTATCGAACCCTTCAAATATCTCAGGATTCTTCTTGCAGCCTTCATATGTGACACTATTGGTTCACTCATATATCTACTTACTAAAATAACTATGAAACCTATATCAAGTCGACTGTTGCACACATATCTCAGAGATCCCATGATTTGGTTGAGAGAAGTTACATCTGAAGGTAGAGAAAACATAAGAAAGGGAGGGTTTGAATTGGGTTTATAGAAAACATTCCTCTTTCGAAATTCAGAGCACTCAAATGATAATAACAATAAAGACTATGAAGAATAAAGGACACAAGGATTTATCCAGGTTCACCTTAAACAAGATTAATCATGTACATCCCCTCAAGGATGATTTCGCCTTCAGCAAGGACTTAATCCATTATAACCAAACTGATTACAAATGCACGGGAAATGGCCGATGACTAACACGCAATGACACGTTCATGGATCCCGTAGGATATAACATTCATTGTTCCAATAGAATCTGATCCCTCAAGATCTCCTATCAAGTTTTTCTATAATAACCAGCAGCCATTGTCTTCTTTAGATTAGACCTTCACTCAGTCTCTCAAGGAACTTCAGATCAAATTAAAAAGAAACCTATTATGCTAAAATTTAATTTGGAGATGCATCTATATGTGCGTTAAAGATAAGTTCGGAGATGTATTTTTGTTTCATATCCTCGCGTCATACCATTCCCTCTTTCTCCTTTTTCATTTTCTAAAACATTCTCAACAATAAACAAAACATTTGAGCTCATACATCCATTCAAGTTTTCAACCATTCATTCAAGCTTCTACCATTGGAGATCTTTCTCCTCCTTTCTAGCATCTCATACATGCATACAAGCTTCTCCTTCTCATCCATTTGATTTGGTAAGTTTTCAACAAAAAAAATCTCTTTTTATGTTTTGATTTGTAGTTAGTTGTTTAAGCTACATTAGTTGTTTAAGGTATATTAGATAGTAGTGAACACGAAATAGGTAGCATACAAGGACATGCATTGACATTTGTTTGGAGGGTTAGGGAAGCAATGGTGTTTCTGATATGGTTGAGAATCGCAACTTTATCCGGAGATGCATCTCCAAATTTTCTCGGTGTTAATTTTGAATATGCATCTCCGAATTTGTTTCATACTAAAAATTGGTTATTTGTGGATTTTTACTAGCATGCTATTTTTTGTATATATTTGTAACACATGTGTAATGGCTGAAAACAACCCTGGCAGAACTAGATTCAGTCGTGTGTTCTAAATTTTGTCGGTACGACATGAGAGGTATACATCTAGGACCACGAGGCCACGAGTCAATGATAACTCGTTTGATTGTTTGTTGCGCCGAGTTTCCCAACCATCTTGTTCTGCTTCTCGTAGCCACCTCTCTCAAGCATCTACTTCATGGGGCCACAAGTCTTCATATGATGTAGTAGAACCTGAATTCCTTGAAGCCCAAGAGGAAGTCACTGCCGATGCCCATTTAGAGAGATATTCAAGAGGCCCATTTGACACCTCCTTAATTCATCTCTATGCAGACCATGTTGCTAGGCATTTCTGAGAATGATAGGTATATTTATTTTCTTTTTCAATATGTATGTTTCCGACTATTTAAATCGATATTGATGGTGATATTTTCTTTTTAGATAACGTACATGTTTGAAATTGATAAACCACGGCAGGAAGATATTGGAGTTGGGCCAGCTCACTGTTGATTGGTTTCAGGATGTTATTCGTTATTATGATCTTTCTAATTTATATCATGTTGCGTACATAAACATAAACTATGGCACACATGCGGCTTTTGTAGAGAGGTGGCATTTAGAGACGTCATATTTCCACCTTCAAATAGGCGAGACGAACATCACCTTGGATGACGTCTCATGCCTCCATCATCTTCCCATAAGGATAAATTACTAGGTCATAGAAGCATCAGTTGAGAGAGCGTCGAGATGATGGTCACCTATTTGGGGCTTATCCAACTAAGGCCTCAAAGGAGGCAGCTGACACAAGAGGTGCTCATTCAAGATTAGGTTTTTTTGGAAAAGCTCTATAAAAACCATTTACAGTAGGTTGAGGATGCTAAAGGTGATGATCTGCAAGTTTACTACCATCGGACTTGCACATTAAGGTGTTACCTCTTGTTCCTGGTTGACACGTTCATGTTTATGGATAAAAGTGAAATCTACATCGATGTGGTCTACCTTTAATACTTCATCGACTTGACTGTGATTCACGAGTAGAACTGGGGTCGCCTGTTTGATCTACTTGTACTTAAAGTTGAACAAGGGTTATATTTGGAAGACAAGAAGATGATAGGGAGTTGCACACTGCTTATGATAATTTATTGTTATTAATATTTTTATAATTCATTTGTTACACTTGTTATTAACATTATATCTGAACCATTTCCAGTGATAAATCATCTCACATTTCTCTTGCATCACCGGGTGGAAGTTATGCCTACCTACATTAAGGATTGGCCACAAGTTACCACATTTCTTCTATACATGAGGAATAATGTGGTCGATCCATTCAGAGTGCATATTAATCGTCATGTAAAATATGACATTTGCTTCTTCTTATACAGGGGTCACCGCGAGACACGTTTGCTAAACACAATTTCCTTATACTCTCGATGGCTAGCATGCGGATCATCACTTATGTATCCTTATTTTCCCAAGCGAGTGGTGCGCCAGTTTGGCTATCTGTAGATTATTCTGAGACCCCCTTATCGGTCTGCTCCTTCCATCGTCGGCCGTAGAAATCTTGATGTGACACTTGAGGATTTTGAGAGTCACCTGGTATTAAAGGAGTATCGTGGGGTACTAGCTCCTATATATTGGGCCTATGCAGACGGCTACATGACATGGTTCTATAGGATATCACACCCTATCACGACAGCAGACGCTCCTGGAAGATTACTTAGACCAGCTAATCAAAAGGTACTTAAGACTAGGGATGAGCACACTGAGGACATGTCGATTGTTTGTCTGTGTTTTATGGAGATGGATAAAACAGACGTAGAGGCATGACTCTTTAAAGATGACAGTCTTTTGTTGGCCCTCGTGGAGAGCATGACTACTGAGTTACAGAATATTGTGTAGTATATACGAAGGAGAAGACAGGGGGTTAGACATATCCAATAGTTTATGTTTGGATGTATTATTTTTTTGTATTTCTAGACAAATAATGTACGGTCTTGACTTTTTGAATTTAATTTAATTAATGTATGACTTTTTACTTTCATTTCACTTTGATATAACTTGAGTTTACTTTAATATAACATGTTCTCAAAAAATTATAATGTTCGAACAATGGTGCTGATCTAAAATGAGTTAGAGCGTTTTCTGAGATGCATCTCTGAAATATTCTTCCTGTACAATTAACACGTTTCTAATACCTTTTAAAGGACTTCAGAGATGTATCTCCTGACGCACTCAAATAATATACGGAGATGTATCTCTGGACACACCCAAAAAATATATGAAGATGCATCTTCAGACCATATTTTATTTAAAATGGAATAGATCTAAAAAAACAAAATTTATTGTGATTTTAGATGCGCCCGAATCTCCAAACGCATGAAGAACATTTTTAAATTTTCGGAAGTGTGAGAAGCACCCCTAAAATTGAAAAGAGCATTCCCCTTAATAGTGTTAATTGGATTTAAATTCGAGAGATCTCATATGTAATCATTAGCCAATCTGTTGTGGATATGGCTAATCTAAATAAAAAAAATTAAATGCATATTTTTCTTTCAAAATTATTGTTAGTCTTGTAATATTTACCGATTTTCCTTTTTGCTAATCAATTGCTTGTTATGTGCTAAGTGACATTTATATTATGTGACAAATAAAAAAGGAGCAGTTTCAATAATACATCTATATAATTCATTGTCAACTCGCACACAAACTTCTCATACAGTTTGTGGCTGGTGGCATGATATTTAATTTTGGACTGCAACACCATTGATCCTTCAAATGAATGAAATGAAAGAAACTTAAGTAGTTGACCAAAACATAGTATAATTGGACCGCACCAACATCATAAGTCAAAAACACTTTCGAATTACTATTTCCAAAATAACCTTCTCAAGAGAGCAAAAGCCTCTTAGAAAACAAATAAAAAATGTTAGTTTGTTATGTTATGTATATAAGCACTTGGTATTTCTTGTAACATGTTACATGCATCTCTTGTGTTACTTTCTTCAGTGCATCATATTAGAACCATAATGGCCATGTCAAGGTAAATTTTCTCTTTTGTTATTTCTTCAATGATGTGATTTTAGCATAAACATGATGACATTTCAATGTGACAGTGATGAAGCTTATCATGAAAATGAGAGACAAATGAAGGATAGAAAAGAAAAGAGGAAGTTACACCGTTCTGGTCGAAATAGCAGAGATAAATTTCAAGAGAGATTGGATTTCAAGTTCTATGACTTCAAGGCTCTTGAGGTTTTTCTCTTACAATGATCTAATTCAAGTTCTTTTGGTTCCATGATTAAAACATGCTAGTAATTGTTGAATGTGTGATTAATTGATTATGCAAGATTGAAAATGGGTGGAACCAGCTTTTTGTTTCTATAATTTCAATAGAAACGGGAGAAACCATAGCGAAATCAAGCAAATCACTAGTCAAAAATGGAGTGTGTGATTGGGAAGAGACTATGTTAAGTAGCATATGGATTTCTGATTATTCTCTACAAGATAATAATCAAGGCTTCCTCCTTAAGCTTCTTGTAGCAATGGTTGGGTTTTATACCTTAGTTTCATGTTTCATAAAACTACACATTCTGTTCTGCTCATTTATAGCAGAATATGTTTTAATGCAGGGATCTCCCAGGTTTGGGACCCTTGGGGAGGCTACAATTAATTTAGCAAGTTACATTGGCCAAGAAACATTTACTGCATCACTGCCTTTGACACAACACTCTTCATGTGGAGCAATCTTACAAGTAAGGTTTATGATTGATTATATGTTAATACAACTTCACTAAGTCGGCAGCATAAGAAAAGTTCCAATTATCTGTTGTTTTTCAGGTTAAAATTCAGTGCTTGACACCGAGAAAAAATTACAGGTCTGCTATTTGTTGTTTATGAAACGGCATTAATATGTTTTAACTTTGTGTATGCTTGTTATCTATCAAGCACGGACACGGTTTTTTTCAGAAGTGTCGGTGCTACATAACGTAGCGCGTATAGCTTATGATCATGAAATATGAATTCGCTCTTATGAGATTGCACAGGAAGGATGCAAGTTCTTATGGAGAGGAAATGAGTGTTGGCTATGATGATGTGGACAGTATATCCAATGCATCTGACACTACATTCAGCAGAACAAGTGTGTCCTCACATTGTGACCAGTTAGAAAATATATTTTATCCAGGAGAATTTAGCAGTAAGGTACAATGATTGTTTAGCTACTTATAACTTTTATTATCAAGATATAAGTTCTTGTTCAAATTGGCTTTCTTTCAAGATTATAAAATCACTTTCTGATGTTTCAGAGAAGAGGTCCTTCGACAGCATGTTCAGATCATGACATTGGCTCTTTGGACAGTTCCTTTCCCTCTTGGATTGAAAACTTACCCCAACAAGGTAATGTCAATGGATGGAAGACCAATGTGCAGGAGAGGCGAGATTCATCTTGCTCGGAAGATGGCCCCTATTCACTCTATGATGCCTCGACGCTGAAACATGCATCCTCGACCTCAGCAACATTGAGTTTAGGGACAGAGATTCAAGACAAAATGGAAGACTTTGGGAAACTTTCACGTGCAGGTGACACAACATCAACGACGAGTGTTTGTTCATCTAAGGATATGCTCGGAGCAGCGCAGGTAACAATCGAGTTACTTCACGGTGAGGTGAAGATGTGGGAAGAAGGCTCTAGGAAGCTGATGACGGACGTGGAGAAACTGCGGAAGGAGTTACACAAGAAGTCGAAGCATAAAAAAGATCTAGAAATGGAGTTATCATCATCGCGCAAAGAGAACGGTGATTTGAAGGAAGAAATTCAACGCCTAACCGCTATGGTGAAACAAAATGACAGCAATGCCATTAAGAAGTTGAAAGATGAGATCAGTTATCAGAAAGGACTTAATCATGACTTGGAAGTGAAGCTAAATAAAACACAGGAGTCAAACATTGATATCGTTTCCATTTTTCGGAATTTTGAAAAGAAAGTAGAAAAACAGAAAATGGTGATTGCTGAACTGTCAAGGAAGAGTCTTCACTTTCAAGATGATGAAAATAACAGTCACAGGATCGAAGACAGTGACGAAGAGGACTTCAGCTTAAGCATAGATGTTTTGCCAGAGAAAATGAGAAAGGAGTTCTATCATTCAGGTTTTGATTTCAGTAGCAATGAAAATGCAATAAGATGCCTGCATGAAGGGATTGAATTACAAGAACTCGGGAACTCGGAAACTGAGCGCCAAGCGATGCGGGAGAAACAAAAGAACATGGAAAGTACTATCCAGTTTCTGGAGAAAACTTTGGATGAGAAAAATCAAGAGATGCAAACTGCAACAAAACGTTTTATGGCTCAAACTTTTGAGAAAGAGAAACAAATCTTGAACTTCGAAAAGAAGTTACATGATGGCGTTAATGCTTTCAGCAATGAAATCTTAGCTTTAACACAAAGAGTGCAAGATCTTGAAGCCGGATTTTGTGAGAGGCATGGAGAGTCCGGAGAGGATCTTAACACTTCTGATTCTTTTCCTTCAAACTTTCTGCTGTTTAACTTTGATACTGCTATCAACATCACTGAAGCGTTCCTCGAGTTATATAAGCAGCTTCTTCTTTCAGTAGAAAAGCTGAAGGATCAAGATTTTCTTCTGTCAATCACCAAAAACGAATCACAGCTTTCGAAAGTTGCAGGCAAAATAGATTTTAAGGAATTGACTGAGGCAATCTTGTGCACCATTATCCAGTTAAATAAGCTGCTTGAATCAAAGGCTACTTCCTCTGAAAATGTTATGAATCCTCAGGGCGAACAAAGGAATATGTCTGAGTTAGAAAGTTCGGATGATAATCGAAATTCTTTATTTGAACTAGAAGTTGAAGTTGCACAGTTATCAGAACGGATATCTGGCTTGGAAGCTGAAGTGAGACATTTGAATGAAGAAAAGGCGTTTACTCATTTGGCGCTGGAGAATTCAGAAAATATTGTCATATACCTCCAGGCCGAGATCAAGAGAATGGAAAATATAAATCAGGGACAAAAAGTTGATTTGAAAATAATGGGGGAGAGCATACAGAAAAAATGGATAGAAGCTCAAGAAGAGTGTGGTTTTCTGAAAAGATCCAACTTAAAATTACAAGCTACAAATGAAAACTTGATTCAAGTATCTAAAACTCTTCAGATGTCAAATGGCAAGTTAAGAATGCAAAACTTGGCGTTGCACAACCGATATACAGTATTGGAATCTAAACTAGGGGAATCGGAATTTGCATTTTCTAATATAATGAAATTAGTTGAAGACTTGGAATGCAAGTTTACTTCAATGCTGGGAGAAATTGTTTTGAAAGAAGAAACCATAAATGTAGATCTGGAAGCACTTCTTCAGGAAAACATAAAGCAAAATGAAAGGTTTACTATAGAAGAGAGGTTTTTAACACAGGTGTATACGGACAAAGCAGCTGAAGTGTGTAACTTGCAGAGAGAGGTTGAACATCTAACAGACAAGATATCGGACATCTTTCATCGACACAACATAATAGCCTCTAAGGTTGTACTTGATGTCTATGATTTATGTGCTGATAAGGCTATGACTGAAGATGTTCTTCAAGAAGAACAGGAGAAAGTAAAGCTATATGAAGCAAAACTTGATAATCTTCAAGGAGAATATGAAGTAATGGTGCATAATTATACTGAAGAGCTGGCCGCTATGACGGAAGACCAAGAAACTCTGATGATTAATCATGAAAAAGTAGTTGTTTTGTTAGGAAACTCCAAATCAAATGAAGAGAAACTAAAGGGCGTTGTTAGAGGGCTCGAGGTGGAGCTGAAAGCCTCTGAATTAGAGAGGCTACAAGCAATGGAAGAAATTTCTCAACTTGAAGTTCAACTTCAGAAAACCGAAATGCTTCAAAACGAACTCTTCATACTCAAGAGATCACTATGTGAAGCAGAAATTGAATACAGAAAACTGGAGGCTTCGTATCAGATGCTGTCTTTAGAGTACGACATGCTGAAGGCTGAGAAAGTATCCTACATGCAAAGACTCTCAAACACTGAGAAAATTATATCAGAGTTTGAGGACTGTAAGCGAAGTAAAGTTGAGCTGGAGGACAAGATTTTACGTCTGGAATGGAATCTAACCACAAATGAAGCTTCATGGCGTGATAATGCTCGGTTAAAGTATGAACTTGCCCAAGTGACAAGAGAAAATGGTAAATTATGCAAGAAGAAAGATTCTCTGCAACAAGAGAATGAAGATTACCAGAAGAAAGTTAAGGCTCTTGAAAAAAAGATGAAGCAAAAAGATGAAAAACAATAGCAATTCATTGACAGAGAATGTAGAACAGTACTTTTACAACTTCATGGGAAGATTTGAAGCTGTCACACGTATTGACAGTTTACACCGACATCAGTCTCTTTGTTCACTGTTTGTGTCGATGTACAATACTGTCAGTCATAGGAATGTTGCTAATTCAAAGTTTTATTGATTTCAAAGATTGCAACAATAGAAATTTTCAATTTATATTACAACTTCGTTTTCAAGTACATCAAATTGTACTTCTGGTAGTTCTTTCAAAGTTGCAACAGATTCATATTTTCTTTCTCATTGATACCAATAATTGTGCCAAGAATCAACTCTGCTTATAACTTATTCTGTTTAACTCAGCTAGTCAGGTAGAATTATTCAGCAGAATTTAACCAAAAATTATCAAAGTTCAAGGGTAATATTAATAATTGTTAGTATTATTTAAGTTAAAGAGTTTGCTCTGAGGTGTTATTACTTTTCTCCACTTTAATTGAGTCAAAATATTATAGGTACAGAAATGACCAACAACAACCAAATCTTATTCCACTGAGTGGTGTCGGTTATATGAATCAACTTTCGCCATAATATTCTATCAAGTACCATATTTTTATCTAAATTGTTAATCTTGAGGTCTTTCTTAATAACTTCTCTTATAGTTTTTCTAGATCTTTCTCCACCTCTAACTATTTAACTACCAAGAGAATCTACAGGTACAGAAATGACCTTCTTGGAGCTCTGTTTTAGTTTGCTTGTGTAAAGCTCTCAGCATTTTCAAAGAAAAATTTATCTAAAGTAGACGAAAGATTTGTAAAGAATAACTGGGCCAACTATTTATTTACGCAAGAATGATGAATTAACAGCGCCATTTGCTAATCCAATTATACATTTCGTGAAGTTTCATATGTAATCAGAAAAACAAGGCATCTACTGAACACTTGTACATAAGAACCTCGAGACAGCCAGAACCGAGACCAACATCCTCGAGATTCATTTCTTCTTTTCCGTATCCTTCTATTTTTCCTTTTTACAGTATGGAATATGCTCGGACCACCTCAACAATTGGTGCTCGGCATAAAGGACACTTGCCTCCTCCACGAATTAACTCATTGGCACATTTTGAACATGTGCACATGTGTCCACATCTGCAAGAAATTGAAATTTGGAGAGGAAGAAACAATTAGATCCCCGCAAAAAAAATATGGGGCTGAATTTCTTTCATTAGCATAAATTATGCATTCATAATGTGTAAATACCTGTACAAAAGCGAATCAATGTGGTTATCACAACAAACACAGCAAGTTCCTTTTTTCACATGCGCCCATTTAGACCCATCATCAGATGTCTCAGCACCCAATCCTACAAATTGATTAATATACAATGAGTGACTAGAGATATTTAAGAAAGATGAATAGAACTAAGCAACAGACATTTGCGCTGCACTATTATTACCAATAAAATTCATTAAAGCAAAACACAAAACAATGACAAAATGCATTGAATGAAGTGGAAAAAAATATCACACCATTTTCGCCAGCTGAGCGGTTCAGAGCTGCAGAGACCTCCTGTCTGACAGATCTCTGCAATTCTAGTTGCATATCCATGCAGGCTTCCAACATCCTCTGCATGTGATTCATGCCTTGCTGAAGTCTTGCCATATCTGATCTTAAATCATTCATTATCTCCCATTCCTGCTCCCACACATAATCAAAATCAGTAATTTAAAAAGGTCTCTAAAATATATAGTATGAAAGCATATAAGTGTACTCATATATGTAAAGGATTTAGGCAAAGGTAAGAAGAACACAAGGTAAATAAAATAAAGAGAAAAGGCAATTAACTTGGCTTAATTTTTGCCAGAAAGGCGTATCAATAGCCAAGACCTAACAACAGAGATCATAAACAGTGGACACCCAGAGCTTTCAAGCTACTTATAATTTCTCAATTTACATATTCAACTTGGAACCACTTGGATATCTTATGCAGTATATTTTGAATCATTTAGCATGGTACTAATCAACATAAATATTATGACAAGCCAGTGTGTCGATGGCAGAGCCAAAATCCGGCCATACCGGCCGCTTTGCGGCACCGTTATAGCGGATTATGGCGGAAAAACCCACAATATCGGCCGATATTTACCATTACGGTGAGCCCAAAAACCGCCATATATATCTGCCATAGCAGTCATGGCGCCGCTATTTGATAACAATGTGACAAGTAACTTTAATTAACATCAAGAACCAAACCAAACTTAATAAATTGCTAGCATCAATTGGTGGTAACCTAAGCAGCAGCAACAACTAATGCTTTTGCATGGAAGCTAAAAGAATAATAAGAAGAAATATAACTACTATATGCTGTATGCAATTGCATAGGTAATACTTTCTGTTAAGGATTCAAAAGTGTTATATTACGAACATAACCGAGATGTGTAATGAAGGAAAATTATATCAGGAAATTGCTCACGATTTCAGAGCGATGCATGGTATGACGAGACCATCCAGTTTGGTGCAAGTCTTGGTGCCACAGAGGTTGTGGCGGTGGTATGGGTGGAGGAGGAAACACTAGTGAAGGCCTGTTAATTGCTTCATGCTGACCCTCATTACGTTCATCACCCTGCTGTTCAGGGTCTCGTTCAGGCGAGGCAGGAGTCGTTGTGGGCAAGTTTCGATGCAAATCCCAGTCAACTGGAGCACGACCTTGCCTTTCAACATATGACTGTATTAGTTGATCCAGACTTTCGCGGAAACCACTGCGAAGAAGGTTAGATACACTTCTCCTGAAACATAAATATAAAGATCAATAAAGGCAAGACGCCTGAATAAAATGAAAGCCAATATATGAAGTATAATGCCAGGTTCCGTACAATATCAAGGTAGAAATAGCCAATTTATTTTAGATTTTGGAAAGGATGAAACAAGTGTTTCAACAGAAATCTAGACATGTTTGGGATTACATCATTTATTTCAATCTCTCTACGCCAGTTGGAAGTTAAATAAATTAAGGGAAGAATTACCTGCTCAGAAGCTCTCTAAGCTCCATGCTGTATACATTATCATCATCAGGAGGGTGAAATCTGTTGAATCTTCTAAAAGGAACACCACGGCGATTCCTTGAGGCTGCAGAAGGTTCTTCAGGCCAATTACCACCAGCTTCCCTTGTGTTATTGTCCTGCCAAACTCTTTGAGCTTCCTGTTGATGTGGGTCATCTCCAGCTGAATTTCTGGGAGTTTCCTGTGGCCAATCACTGGCTTCCCTTCCATCTCTGAGCTGATTAAACGGACCATTAATTCTCTGCTGCCAGTCTTCTCCCCTATTTTCGGTAATCTGTTCCTGCCAATCCCCTCCTTGATTACTAGCTTCTTGCCAACTAATAGTCTCACTGGTGCTACTCTCCAAAGTTCTTGTTTGATTAGGCAACTGACGTGCATCAGTTTCTGGGCCCCTAATCTGCTCTTGGTTGTGATTTTCTTGTTGAGCGTCTACGATATTGATTGATTGGTTCTCATCATGTCTTGTTTCATCATTGTTACTATTTGTCGTGGCATCAGGATTGGTGTCGGCTTGACCGCGAACAATATTTTCTAATCTTGAACGAAACCCCTCCCTGAATCACACCATTTAGTTGTTGATGATAAGCATAAATTGTACTCAACAAAAATCATCAACACATCACATTCTAATAAATGCATGATCGTAAACACATTTAAAACAAATGTATAGAATAGTTATAACTATAGCTATGTACTAGTTTTAAGTTTTTTTTAAAGGAGAAGAAACAAGCCAAGGGAACACAATTGGTATAACCCTCTGCCTCATTGAACCACAGAACATAGATGAGCTCGTTAAATAAAGAAACTTATGATCAAAAACCAAATTTTAATATACATATTAATTCAAGAGAAACTCAAAGGGAACTTAAAAAGTGTCCTGCCGTAATAAAATCAGTAAAAAAAAATTGATTGAGAACAAAAATTGCTAATTTCTTTTGCAAAATAGTAATAATAATTCATTTAAAATCAATATGAAACAAATAGCTAAATAAATTCTTATATCAAGACTAACAACGAATAAAATGATGAGTAAAACAAAAATTCACCATTGTGCGTCAAAGTTACTTACTATACACAGATGTTATTTCTCCTAGACACAGATGTTAGATAGACCAACTTAACCACGTGTAATCTTATTTCCATAACAAAATTTATAGCATTTGATATAAGACAAAAAGCAATGCCCTCAACATGAATTTATGGGGGAAAAACTAATTTTATTAAAATTATAAAACAGCATGATAATTTTTTGTTGTGTCTTGGAGTTGGAGGTGTCAAAGATGCAAAATCATAGTTTTTCTATACTATACAATTTAGATTCTAAAAAACATCAAAAAAACTATAATCCTAATTAGATTGAACAAATGAAGAGCAGAGTGAAATGAACATATGTGGAAGTATTAAACTGCACACCTTATACCAGAGACAGTGTGCCGCTGTCGTAACTGAACTAATTCACTTGCAGCTGTAGAAGGAGGCCTTTCATCTTCAACAGTTTCATTTCGAAGGAATCTGCCTCTGAGCAACGACTGAAAATGATAATCTTGTATAAATAGTCAATTTACAACTAGAGGATGTATACTTGGTGAAACAATTAAAACAACCAAGTCAATGCACATTGATATTTTTAAGTCACATGATATATTAATTATTTGGCAAGGGAATAAAAGATAAAGGAGTAAAGTGATGAATCAAAAACTGATACAATATGCAGTAGCTCATGTAACAACAAAAGGAGATATATTATAATAAGCATTCATAACTTGGCCCACTTTCCAACTACAACGAAAAAAGAACAATAATACAAAATTCTGTTATTTCATTTTTTTGTTATTTCCTTCTAAATACAGGTTTGATAATACAAAGCACAGAAATACCTCTTGATTAAGTCCTGAAATAAACTAGAAAATAACAAGCAAAAGTTCTGAATTTTATAATGTAACAAAATATCGACTACTTTGGGCTGGTGATCTTTAAATATCTCATACTCACTTTTTAAGGAACATGTATAGTAACTTTCAAGGCAATAATACATGGAGCTTTCAATTTATAAAAAGAACTCAATGAAACATTTTAGAAAGAAAAAAACAACACAGCACATTTTACAAATTTTCCAGCACATATAGCGACCTTAAATATTGAAAAACCAATAACAAACTATAAATATACCCGAGGGAAACACCATGGTCCAAACCAGAGTACCAGACATATCAGAGAACAGAAGAACACATATGCCGATTATTCCATATTAAGGCAAAGAACAATAAATGACTGAAGATTTTAATAAAGTTGGAAAAATAACTATAAGATAATTACTGGAGCCTTGAATTAAATGTATTCTAATAAGATTTTGTTGCTTTCATAGTCTGATAAGGTTTTCATTAAGTGAAGTGACAACAACATGACCAGGGGAAACACAAATTGCAAGATAATTCTGAATTCTGATAGGGTACACGACAGACCTGAATACGATTGCGATGAGCAAAATCAGAAACAGCACGGTGCTCCAACAGGCCCTGCAGCTCTCTTTGTCTTTCCCTTTCTACCCTAACAAGCAAATCAACTAGAGCCTGTCTTCCACGCAACCTCAGCATGTCCCGCCGAACATGCTCTGGCTGACCCTCATCATGGTCAGCTGCCATATCACGGGTCCGAGCAGCTTGAGCAGATTCGTTTGCTTGAGCATCCCTACGGCTCCCGCGTGAACCTCTCTGCTGGCTAGTCATTTGCACCCATTCCCTGACAATTCTTACCCTCTCACGCTCTGTTTCTCCAAGCCATTCTGATCTGTGGTTGTTGTTTCTCTGGCTCACATTTGATGAATGATCACTAATACCACTTTCCATCCATCCCCTAACAATCTGTCTAACTCTCTCCCTCTCAACTTCGCCAAGATCGGGAGATTGTTCCCTGCTAGACCCGTTACGATTCACGTGTCCATTCCTTGATCCAATCTGATCATGTGACCACGTACCATAATCATTTTCACTCTCACTTGCATCCCCCAAACTCCCTCGATTCTCACTGCCTCGACTGTCAGACATGGTACTTGACACATTGGTATTAGCATCGGAACTCCTTTGCTGCCTCAACCTCTCCCTCATCCTTTCACGCGCCCGACTCAACAAATGTTCATCCTCTAACTCACGCCACATCTGCAGAATAGAAGATGCCTGAGTACTCGGCCTCTCTACAGTCCCCTCCTGGCCAGAAGTAGGAGACTGCGACCCCCTCAAAAAAGACGAGTCCAACATGGACACGGTATGTAACCCTGCAAGCGCCATCAACTCCGACTCTCTATTCCTTCTTTCAATAGTAGTTATCATCTCCTGCGCCTGCCGGGCAGCCCATCTGCTCAAAATGCGCGAATGGCGCCTCCGTGCTGCTGACGACTCTGCTAAATCATCCCCTTCAAGATCAGACCTCCTTCTCCTCCGAACTAGCTGATCACTCTCATCGTCCTCATCTTCCGGTGCCCGGGAAGAGCTACATGAAGCAAATGACATACAATCATCCAACTGACCACGCATAAAGTTCTCCAAGCCATGCTCAAAATCAGCATGAGAATCAGCAGAATCAGGCTTCTGCTGCAGAGGCTGAAAATCTGTCATCCTCACAGAATCCCTACCTCCAGTAATACAATATAGAGAAAATACAACTGAATTACTAAACCACCATTTGAATCTCTCGGAAACCAAAAAGGAAAAGAAAAAAGAAAAAGAAAAAAGGGAAACCCAATCTGAGAGTCAAACCCATAGGAAAACGAGGGAAAAACAATACAAATATTTCCCTAATCAAATTGACATTCAAAGCCCCGCCATACATGCCACCTGATAAACGGTACGAGTCAAAATCAACATACACAACAATTACATGAAAAAACCGACGAAATTGTGAAATCAAAATTGGGATGAAGTGGAAATGAAACTAGGGCAGGAAATTGAAGAGAAGAACGTACCTGGGAGTGCTGTTGGAAGGTGAAAGAGGGAAAAGGAAACCCTAGAATTTTCGTGAGAATGAATGAAAAGAAAGAATTGAAATAGAGAGAAAAAAGTTGTGAGGTGAAAATAAGGTGAAAAAGAGGAAAAGACGCAGAAACGAAACAAACTAGGAACAAAGATGAGAGGATCATATGATGTCAGATTTTATTTATATTAACACAGAGGAGAGAGAGAGAGAGAGAGAGAGAGAGAGAGAGAGAGAGAGAGAGAGAGAGAGAGAGAGAGAACAAACTGAGTGCCGATGATGCGTGGTGTGGTGTGTTCCTAATCTAATTTTTATTTAGTTCATTAATCTCATCTTAACTTAACATCAAACTTGTGTTTTCCACTCATTTATAAAAGATAAATGAAAAAAAAAAACTAATTGATATACATAATTAGTTAATCATAATTTTCAGATTTATTTTTATAATTATTTGATTTTTGTTTTAATTGACTTCAAAATATTATATATGAATAATTTTGATAATACTGTATATACAAAAAAATTTATATCGATAATATATACTAATTAACCTCATAAAGTAAAGAGGTGCGGTCAAGTTAAAAGAAAATATTAATAAAATTAATAAATATTTCTGTTCAAACATAACTTTGTTAAAATTTACCGCTTGTATTTTATAAAAATACTTATAAATATAGTTTTATTTATTTATTTACTTTTAAAATTAGTCAATAATTGAAATAGATAATAAGAAGATGAAACTTTGAATTAGAAAGTTGAGCAACATTTTAAACTAAATAATACCATCAAATTAACACTTTAATTATTATATAAATTAAAAGATAAAAAATGAGATTTTTTGGCGGCTAAAATAATGTTGAAAAATTTTAAAATGAAGAAAAATCGATTAAAAAACGTTTGTCATAGATCACTGTAATTGTTTAACAAGCGTTTTTTAGTCAATTTTTCTTTAAGTTATTTTAAATCATAGTTTTTAAATTAGATTTTATCGAATGATTAATTAAATAAAAAATTTATTTATATTCAATTTAGAGGTTATGATTTTGAATAAGTTAAAAAAAATTACTTTTGAAGTAAATTGAACCCCACTCATATCTCTTTTGATTTGTGTCATACCCTAATTTTGTTCGAGATTAGAATTTTTCTTTAGATTTATTTTGTTTTTTTATCTCGCATTTTTATAAAATATCAAATAAATAAATAAATAAAAATTTTTTGAAGAAGCTAAAGAAGTACCAAAAGTCAATACTACAATGACTGAAAACAAAAAGACAACCACCCAATTAGACTCTACACATTAACGGAGTTACCCTCCAACTTTGATAAACGAAACACAAAGTTGAAAAGTGAGATTTTAACCACCAGAAAGATTGAAGCTTAACATTTTCATATATAATCATTAGTGACAAACTCCTATTTTGAAAAACTCGTTGATTTTGCGTCTTTCAAACTACTCATGTTGCATCAATCCAAATAATATGAAAGACATATCTGGTTTTGACCAACCACTCAATGCCACAAATTGATCATGATGATTCATACAAGCAACCCTGAAGAGATGTCGAAAACCCTAACCAACCAGACAATAATGACCAAATGTTACCATAATTATTATATTGCACAAACAGATGATCTCAGATCTCATTCTTACCACACCCAATTATGCAAGTTTGCGCCCCTGCTATAATAATATTTCTCCTAGCCAAGTTATTCTTCATCGGTAATCTATTGTGATATAATCGTCGAACAAATAAATTAACCTTGAGTGGCACCGCTTGAGTCCACTAAACTTGAGAATCACCTCGATGTTGAACATTCACCGTCTTCGATAAGAACTGATAGGCACTTCGCACATTATAACAATTTGAAGAATGAAGACTCCAAACCCAAGAATCATCAACATTGTCTTGTAAAACAACAGAATCTAACAACAAAATACACTCCCCCGCCAACTCTTCCTCCCACGCAAACAACCTCATATGCCAACTCCAAGTCTCTCCCTCCACCCCCACCCTAGAGAGAATATTTATGCTACAATAGCATCCTTATGGTCAGGTAACTCATAAAGCCTACTGAATCTAGTCATTAACACCCCTTCTTCCAACCAAGGATCCCTCTAGAATAGAGAGTTTACCCCCATTACCTTCTGATCTCTCAATATTATTGAGCAGCCACCCGCTTTCGATCAACCCACTCCCTTGTCTAATGATATTCACATTCTGCCACCACACAGAACCTCCGACTACCCCAAACCTCAATCGCCCCTCTTCCTCCCCATATCGCTAAACTAACACCATACACCAAAGACTTCCCTTCTCTTCCAACATTCTCCAATACCATTTCCCCAGTAAAGCGGCATTAAACTCCCTTAAACTTATCACCCCAACCCACCATTCTCCTTACTCAAACATATTGTATCTCAATCAATCCACGTTATTTTCCTTGTATCCTTCTATCCACCCCAAAAGAAAGCAATAAATAAAGATTCAAGAGAAGAAATGATACTTACAGGAGTCTTAAAGAAAGAAAGGAAGTAAACTGGAATAGAGAACGGAACAAACTTCAACAGAATCAAACGGCCACCTAACTAAAGATTATGTCGATTCCACCTTGATAACCTCATTCTAATGATTTCCAACACCAGATACCGAAAAATACGCTTCCTCGGATCACCCCTAATAGGCAGCCTCAAATACACAAACGGAATACTGCACAGCTTACAATTTAACATTGTAGCTACCTCTTTCAGCCAAGAATTAGAAATATTGACACCTATCGACATACTCTTATGAAAGTTCACTTTTAAACCTAAAATGGATTCAAACAACAGCAACACAACTTTTAAGGCTCTAACATTAGCCCCGCTCTTGGCTCCCATCAAAAGAGTGTCATCCGTGAATTGAAGATGAGTAAATGGATCTCCAACACCATTTCCCACTCTATACCCAGTGTAAAAACCTCCCTAAACAAGAGAATTCATCCAAACATTGAACCCTTCAGCCTCCATCAAAAAGAGAAAAGGTGATAACAAATCACCTTGAGGTAAACCTCTTTCCAACCTAAATTTTTCAGTTGGGCTGCCATTAACTAAAACTCATGTTGTAGCTGTCGAGATACATTCATTAATCCACTTCACCCACTGATTAGGAAAATTCATTTTAACCATCACCCTTTTCAAATAACTCCAATCAACATAATCATAAGCTTTCTTGAAATCCACTTTGAATAACAATAACTCCTTCTTATTCTTCCTAGCTTAATCTACCACCTCATTAGCTATAAGTATGCCATCAAGGATTTGTCTACCTGATATAAAAACAAATTGAGAATCTGAAATCAGCCCTCCAATCACTTTTTGTAATATGTTAACCAAAACCTTGGCAAGAACTTTGTACAAACACCCAACTAAGGATATAGGACGAAAATCCGATACGCGCTGAGGACAAGCTACTTTAGGTATCATAGTAATAAAAGTGTTATTAATACATTTAGTAAGCTTACCGTTCCGATGAAACTCCACCATGTATCTCAACAAATTTTCTTTCAACATATCCCAAAATTATTTTATAAACCCGAACGACACACCATCAGGCCAAAGACTCTTATAACTATCACAACTCCACATTGTATGTTTTACTTCTTCCATTGAGAAAGGCTTCATGAGATTAGCCTTTTCCTCCCTACTAAGATATTTAAATGCCAGATTATCAATCTTCGATCGGTTCCCTATCATAACCTTGAAATGAGACTAAAATGCTGGAAAATTGCATCCCTAATCGAAACCACCCCTTCCACTATGCCATCATTCACTAATAAAGAATTCATAGCATTATACCTTTTTATAACTACCATATACCCATGAAAATGTTTTGAATTAGCATCACCCTCCCTTAACCAATTTAATATGGACTTCTGCCATTGAATACTAGAACTGAATTTAGATAGAGACATCAAGTCAGCCGAAAGATCATGCAATTCTCCCACCTCATTATCCTCTAAACTAACTTGTTCCCATTTTACATCAAGGAACTTCATACGCTCTTTTACCTTTGATATTTTCCCATCTACATTTTGAGAATGTTGTTGATGCCACCATTTCATACTCCCTTTAATTAACTTCAATTTTCCTTTAACACATAGCCATCCAATCCTTCCACCTGAAAAGAACTTCACTAACTGACCACATATTTATGGTACTCAGGTAAATCATCCCAACACTTCAACATACGATGAGGTCATAGACCCCAATCAAAAACATCAATATTCAACATCAGCAGATAGTGATCAGATAAACCTCTAGGAAGTGCCCATTATGTACAATTAGGCCAAGCAACACACCACTCTTCCGACACCAAGAACATATCCAATCGACTCGTAACACGGTCATCTCCATGATACCAAGTAAAATGTCTCCCACACAACGGAAAATCCACCAGAGAATTTTCATCAATAAACCTATTAAAAGATGCATCCCCCACTGATCCCTCCACCGAAATAATACTTCGCCTTTCAAACCGATGCCTAATAGAATTAAAGTCCCCTACCACACACCAAGGGCCACCACCTAAGTTGTTCAAAACAACCCCTAGAGTGTCCCATAATATTTAACGCCCGACACCATCACATGGTGCATACACATTTGCTAAAGAAAACTCAACCCCACTCTTGATAAGCATACCTTTGATAATCAATACATGTTCAATCGAATGTGTAGACCAAAACACCACCTCCACCAAGTCCCATAAACATAGAGATACCACTTGATACCCCAATTGATGGCCTAAACAAAAAACCAACGTCATCATTCCCCCAAAGAAAACGACTAACAAAATTATCCACTACCTCCAATTTAGTTTCCTGAACACATAAAATCCATGGGCGCTTATCCAATCTCAACTTTCTCACCTCTCTACGCTTTTCCCAACCACCTAAACCAAGAACATTAAAATACATAATCTTCATCACAACCCCAACCCCTTGACACCTCCCCTAACCAGCTACCTCCACCTACTCCCATACCCCACCAACACCCAACCTCACCCCTACCTCCTCCTTACGCCTATCTCTACCTCCTTTGGATAACACACTGAACATATTAGAACACTCGCTCACTAACTTCACCCTAATCGCCTTCCTAACACTATCTACATCATCATGCACCTCTTTATTTCTCCCATGTAAAGACTTCCAATGTCTTAATTCCTCCTTGTTCACCTAAGAATTAGACTCAAAAGACAACGACTCACCCTGTATTTTCGCCTTTGAGTGAGTCTTGGAGTTTATAGACCCCCTTCTTTTAATATATCTCTTTAATGCATTTAGCAAATGTTTCTTGTCAATCCCCGACAACCTGGCAAACCTTTTCAGATCAAGCAGAGAAGCATATTGTCTCCTTCGCTTCCCTTTACCCAAATTCTTCTTCCCTTTCGAATGAATACAAACATTTTCCTCTTCCACATCCTCCACACCCTTCTTTTCAGCCAACACCTGATACTTGCCTTCCACATTAACATCCTTACCCCCAACCTCCACCATACCCTTCACCTCTTTACTCACCAGATCCTCTTTAACCCAATCATCGTGTAATTATGACACTAACTGATCAACCTCCAGATCATACCCTACTTCATTATGATACTCTAGAGGCTCCTCATACTCATACTTAACCAGACAAGCATCCTCTTCCAAACCCAACTCCATATCCTCAACTAAGTAGGTGTCAAATTTTTTCCCATCAATCCACACATGGACCACTCTATCAATTGCTGCTATAATCGGGGTTAATATCAGAATACGTGCAAAATCTAACTGAGATCTCTCACTAGTACATTCATCCACCTTAAAGATACAACCATAACCAGATACCAAGCATGCAAAAAAAGAAATATTCCATGCCTACAGCGGCTCCCCAAAGCATCTGCCACACGCCCCTCTATCATACTTAACATCATTCTCCTTCAACCAAGCACGACAATCATACAAAAATTCTAAAAAAAAAGATCCATCATTTCAGAATACATCGCCTCTGAAGCCTCCTTAATAGATGATATAGGAAAACTTTATCTCCCCCCAGTGGTACCACCTTTAAATCCCGAAAACCAGCATCCATAATAATTTTTTGTAACATAGGAACACACATTCCATTACGAATCCTTCCAACAACACCACTAATCGCCCATTCCAAATCAGCATGAATGGATGAATGCTCCTTCCTCACTAACCCCCAGCCCTTCTTGTGTCCCTCACCACCTCGACCTCTCTACTTATACCTCTCACAACATCAGTAACGGATATCGGCCTCTTACTAAAACTCTTATGTCCCACATCACCAATAAGAAATTCATCTTACACCTTCTCTTCCCGCTCCTTCATAACATCCTGATTCGCTACCATATTTTTATTCCCCTCCACTTCCTCAGAAAATAGCTGCTTCGATCCCCTCTCTTTTTTCCTTCCATAGTGTAATACGGTGGGAGAACTAACTTGTTTTGTGTTTTATCACAAATGTTATAGTTAGCAAGAGTCTCCACAGACTTTTCTTTTATCCAACAAGGAAAGGGTGAAAAGAACAAGAAAGACCTTTTAATATTTTGAGTTTGGGGGATAGATTATGAAAAAGGAAGGTGTTAGCACCCTTTTCATCTGTAGTTATCTATGGGCTCTTAATCGCTTAGCTCACGTTGAAAATTTGCTTTTTGTGTGTGTGTTTGAAAAATATTTTGAAAATGCCAATGTAAGGTGAAACTTTGTAATGATTCTTGTATCGCTCCTCAAGAATGCGTACAAAGTGCTTCAGAAATATTTTTGAGAGTGTAGTGTGATATGTTTTTATTTTTGTGAGCAAGCGGTTAAAAGTATCTACCCACTCGAGGTAATTTTTGTACTTTTCCTCCTCCTTTAGATATTGTTATCTGTACCATTAGTTAGTAGGAAGTCCTATTGTTGGATGTGAAGGGACATGCTAAGGGTCATCGTATGG